GAAGCTTTGAAACAATTTTGCACGCCATGGCCTAAAGGTTTAGAATCTGAGGAAAAGTGCAGGAAATATTTTCCTATTGAAATCAAGAGCACTGATTACTGTCACGCTCTACCTACTATACGAAATTCTGAAGCTAGACGAATAACACTGAACATCAAATTGTCTGATTTGAAATTTGATGTACATGCAAAGGACAAGTTTTTACGATTAGTAGGTGATCGATACAATTCCGACACAGATATATTCACTATTGTTGCCGATCGTTGCCCTTTAAGAAAACAAAACTATGACTATGCCATGTATTTGTTGACCGCATGCTATCATGAATCATTTGTTACTGAACCTTGGGAAGCTAGCAAATCAGAAGCTGATATGGAATATTACAGTTTTGACCGGAATAAATCAAAGCAATCTGCTGAAGCTATAATTAATTGGGGAAAACCCTTGGATGATAAAAAGGAACTAACGGCCAACAAAGGCTTTGCCCAAAGCGTAGAAAATTTAATAAACGAAGGTGAAAATGAATATAATTTAGCAAGGTATAAAGAGGAGGTATTAAAGTTGTTAGAACTAGGTACAAGATAAATATAAAAATGCAATTTTTTAAGCTAATAAATGTAAATGATTGTGCTGAAAACAATTAAAAGAAGCACATGTTATCAAATATGATGTTGTTGTACCGGCTACAACAACCCCGCCCAGATCGGTTGGTATCTCAGTCGTTGTCGTCGAGTTCCACTAACGGCAGCCCCAAGAAGCGTGCAGCCTCTATGGGGTCGGTCCACAGGGACACCGCCGTTAGGGTTGTAGGGTTTTCCGGGCATGCGAAGAGATGCTTAGAGTCGTGAGGGGTCTCTCCGCATGGCGGACATTCATTCGGCATATCCGCATTTAGCCTACTCAGGTAAGAGTTCAGCCTGCTGCAGTAGCCAGAGCGAAGTTGGGCTATTGTTCTTGTCTCCCGAGGCAGATGGAGCTCCGTCGCGTCAATGTCCGGTGTTTGTGTGCCTAGAACGGCATTCACAGGTCTAGAGTCTACATTAGACTGCATCACCAAAAAAAAAATTGCGGTTTTTCCACCGGGATTACAAAATTTATTATATTTTAATACGTCCACCCAAATATTTCGGAAAAATATAAGATTTAAAAATATAAGATTCAAATCGATACCTCCAAAAATTGAGTTTTTTGTGAATAAAAATAGTTTCTTAAATAACTTTTTGAAAAAGTCCCCTCAGATGACAAATTAGATTAAGCTTAAAAAATCTGCATAAAAATATTTGAAAATCTTTTCAACGGAATCGTAACAATGAGATTTTTGACGCTGTTTTTTTATTTTATTCAAAGAGTGGTGTACGAAAAACTTGAATAACTGGGCCAAAAATGTTCTGATTTAGACTTATGGGATCTCAGTAGAAAGGTATTTTCACACTGTTTTCATTACTGGCGAAAAAAAGCGTAATTTGTGTCCCATCTTGTTTTTTCGAATACCAATACATATTAGTTCAACTTTGAGTGACGTTCGTTCATCCTACCTTTGTCTTCCTCCATCCTTTGAATGAGTTTATTAGCAAAGAAATAAAAAGGGTGAGAAAATACCTTTCCAATGACACCTCTTAGGTCTAAATCGGAAGAGTTTAGGCTCAGTTATTCAAGTTCTTCTTATATCAAACTTTGAAAAAAGTTAAAAAACAGCATCAAAAATCTCATTACGATTCCGTTCAAAATTTTTTTTTAAATATTTTTTAATATTTTTATGCAAGTATTTTAAGCTTAAACCGTTTTGTCATCTGAGGGGATTTTTCAAAAAAAAAAATATTCAAAAAACTATTTTTATTCATAAAAAAACTCCATTTTTGGAGGTATTTTCAAATCGGTCCAGCTCACTTAAATCTTAATATTTTTCCGATATATTTTGGTGGACGTCTTAAAATATAATAGATTTTATAATTCCAATGGAAAAATAGTACCGATTTTTTTTTTGTATGGGGAGAGACGCAGTCTAATGTACATACATACATACATCACTGTAGTACATACCCAACAAGCATTTCAGTTTTTCAAAATAACTGAAAGTAAGTTTGCAATAATAAGCGTTAAATAAGCATTTTTAATATTAAGCTTATTAAAAGTTTTTTCAAATAAACCTTTATTAAGTTTTGAGAGCGAATGTTTATAAATAACTTAAACTTATAAATGAAATGCAAATGCCAACGACATGAAGTAGTAGATATTTCATTTTTTCAATCGTAAGTGACGGTTTGTTTACGTTTTTTAAAATATATTATTAAAAGAAAAAATTAAATAAAACCGATGCGGTAAAAAAAAAATCCAATCTAGGACCCGCTGCGCTAATCGGTGGAGCATTGAGTCTTCAAATGATGAGTTCTCCTTATCCTTTTTTAGTTTAACATTCAATTAAAAATGTATTAAATTTTTTTCGGAAAAGTTCATCAAGGAGAATGGCGGCGATGAAGCGGAATATATAGCTGCATCGATGTCGTTTTTCCGCATGTAATTGAAAGCACGCAACAAGATGTAATAATTAACTTTTTTATGCTTAATTTTTGTGTGTTATCGTGAATATGTATGCTAAAATGTCTATTCCCTATTTATATTTTCGCGACTGTAGATGAGTCCGCCAAAAATTCGCATTTCTTTTAGTTTCTAGATGTTAAGCAATCTATGTATGAGTTTTTAATGAAATATCTTTAAATAAAGGGTTATACAAATTTGTATAAAAAGCTTTCTTTTGAAAATTTTTAGTAAGTTTATATTCATACGCTTATAAACAACTTTTTTTGAACCTTTATTATAAGTTTACACTCTTACGCTTATAAAAAGCTTTCTTTTGAACATTTATTACAAGTTTATATTTCTACGCTTATAACCAATGTTCCTTTTCAATTATATTACGCTTATTTTCAAGCGTTTTATAAACAAAAAATCAACGTTTTGTAAGCTTAATGTTTATAATTGAAAAATTAAAAAACACTTTCTTTGAGTTTATTTTGCTTGTTGGGTATACCAGACAGTCTGTAGCTTCGTCCGGCGACCACACTGGTGCTGCGTAGTTTAAAACTGGCCGGCATATTGCCTTGTATGTTGCCAGCAACGTTTTTTTGTCTTTGTCCCAAGTACTGCCGGCTAGCGACTTGAGGACCTTCTTGCGGCTCTGTACTTTATTGACAATAGCGGTTGCGTGCGCAGAGAAGGAGAGCAGGCTGTCGAATGTTACTCCGAGTATTTTTGGATTATTCACCGTTGGAATTGGTGTGTCATCGACGTGAATTCCCAGCGGAGGCAACATGAATTTCAGTTTGTTTACAAATAAATAAATAAAGTCAGCTGGTGTGTCTTCTTCTTCCGGTTTTTGCAAGTAATGGCTAATTTCCTGTTCGTTTACTTGTTTGCTTTTTCATCTCTTTGGGAGAGAATTTTCGCTTACTCTCTTGATTTTGATTGTTGGCTGGTGTTGGCTAATTTTGTTATTGAACGCAACTACTGTCAAATACACCGTGAACGCCATTTTTTGTTTACATAGCAGTTTTTTTGTGATTTGGCGATCTGCTAAATTTTGCTCAAATACACCAGCAAATTTAAAAAAATACTTTCAAAACTTGATATTTCTTCGCTAGGATATATTTAATAAGGTGAAACTGCAGATGCACTTTGGTTTTTGCTTATTCAAATTTGAAATCATTTGGACTGCTGATGGTTTGACACTTTACCAAATTTTACCAGCAAAAATTCTTCAAGAATCTTGCAACTTCTGACAAAGAGAGGACCGCTTTCACTCTCCCATTTTTCTCCTACTTTGAAAGAGAACCGAGTACTGGAGCGTTTTCTGGTAAAATCCTGTAAATTATTGCAACTTTTTGCGAGTTAGGGAACGCAACTAATAAATCTTTGAAATTTGGGTATTGATATTTTATACATAAATTTTACACATTTTAATCCAAGGCACATTAAACAGGTAGTATCAGTAGAGCAAAAACAACATTTGCGTGTATTTTGTTGTTGCTTCTGGTATCGAAAGTGTCAACAACTGTTCTGAATTTTTTCTTCTAAATCAAAGCGTGCCATGTGAAATACAAAAAATTATAAAAAATAAAAAATTGAAATTGGAAAAAATAAAAATTGATGCAACTTTCTTTCCTAGTAAATTTGTTTGCTTCTCGAAGCATTGATCCATCCTTTGCAAGGCCCAGTAATCAGCGGTCGTGCTGCCGAGTTGGGCGAACGTTCCAAAAGCTGCTTTCAATCGCTTGTTTTGTATGGAAAAAGGTTTCACACGCAAATGGATTTTAACAACTTATAATTTTCGTGAGAAAAAATTAAAAATATTTGACATTTTCGAGACCAAATAATTTGAAAATAAATCAAATCAGCTGCTCTACTGATACTACCTGTTCAATGTACCTTGGTTTAATCAAAGAATAATTGCTTTTTGGTTCCAAAATGAGTTAACAATATAGTAAATATAGGCCCCTATTATAAGTTGCATTCGATCTTCATTTGGTATCATGGCGAGTAACGATTCGTGAGAGGATGAGAGTTTAGAAAGCTGGCCAGGAGCAGAAAACGTTTAAGAGAGTTTAAGCGTAGTCCTTCGAAATTGGTGATCCAAATCTATTTAAAATATGTATATTAAAACTATAAACAGCTCTAAGATTTTGTTCTCAGAGATCGTGCCAACAGAGTATTGGGATTTTCTTTCATAAGTAAAACCAGCCTTTCGAACTTGTGTTTAGTATTCACGACGTTAGAACTGCATAAAATTAATAAAACTGGTTTAAAATTAGTGTCTAGCTGCAAAAAAAGTAAGAAAAACAAATGCAAAATCATTTACTTTCACAAATGGTCGGTTCTACGTACCGGATTGACTCGGAGAACTCACTCGGACCAAGGACCATCACCACAGCAGCAACCCCCCAAATTTTTTGCCATGGGAGCATGACCCACCGGCAAGTCTGCTCCGTATACTACTGGTCCGCGCCGGCATAGAACAAAATCCCGGGCCCTGGATCTGTAGTGTTTGCCACCGCAACATACACCACTCCTCAACCTCTGTCCGCTGCAACCGCTGCAACGCCTGGTGCCATCTAAAGGCATGCTCAGGTCTTCGGCACCACAGGGAGTGGAGTAACAATTTTGTTGCATCGTGCTGCAACAACCAACAAACCTGTAACTCCACACAGCCAACACCCGCCCAACCATCAACCAGTGGACCAGCCACAAGCACGCAACACAGGACATCCACCCAGGACAGATGGTCGCGACACCTGCGGCTAACCCACCCGGTCGGGGACCAGCACGTCAGGCCCTACAGGCACCTCAGGCACAACCACCAGCACAGGCAGCGCGCCAGTACTCGCTCACCCCACGCGTAACCATTATAAGGCCACAATCCATCAAGCTGTTGCAGTTCAATTGCAACGGACTACAAAGTAAGATCGCTGAGATAGTCGGTTTCATGAGAAGGCATAAAATCTCAGTCGCGGCGATCCAGGAGACCAAACTCCACTCCGGCTCGAGCCTTCAGAGCCAGGACGAGTTCAACGTACTCCGAAGAGACCGCCCCCGTGGCGCCGGAGGCGGCATTGCCTTCATATTGCATAACGCTGTTCAATACCGGCTCATTACCCCCCGAACTGACTCCAACGATACATTCATTGAATGTCAAGGCTTGGCCATCAAGTCGGGGGATACGGAGCTGGAGATCGTCAATGTATACATACCACCCGCCACCAGTTGCTCAGCTGGATACCACCCTAACATAAGTGCGCTATTAGAGGGTGTGAACCGGGTAGTGCTAGGCGACTTCAATGCGCACCACGAACTCTGGCACTCCAATCTGGGCAATGACCAGCGGGGTACAATGCTCGCTGAGCAAATTGACGACTCCACGTTCTGCACTGTGAATGATGATGCCCCCACCAGGGTCGCGGGTGACTGCTATAGCTCGCCAGATATAACTATAGCAAGTGGGGGTCTGATAAACTGCATTGGATGGCAACCAGTGCTCACGCTCGCATCAGACCACCTGCCCATAGTAGTCGCCATAGACCAGCCAAGAGATTTTATGACATCCGAGAACCGGACATTCATGAACACACGGAAGGCGAACTGGGACGGTTTCACGGAATTCACAGATCGCAAATACAATGCTCTTCCTCTACCATCATGCGCGCGCGTAGCAGAGCGCAATATCCGCAGGATCATCAACGCAGCAGCCGCTCGCTTCATACCAGCCGGCCGGATCGCCAAAATCCGCCCAGGATTCCCCACTGAAGCGGCGGGACTCGCAGACGAGCGTGATCGAATCCGCCAGGCTAATCCAGGGGATCCCCGTATAAGAGATCTCAATAGGGACATTAGAAACCTGGTCAACGAACACAAGCGGAACAAATGGAATGAGCATTTAAAATCCTGCAACCTCTCAAGAGGAGCCAGCAAACTGTGGTCCACAGTCAAGTCCCTCTCCAATCCGACGAAGCGTAGAGACAATGTCGCTCTCACCTTCGGCACCACCACCACGTCGGATCCGCGGTCGTGCGCGCGCTTCTTTAGCCGGCAATTCATTGCACACCCAGAGAGAGACAAAACCCGCCGCAGCGTGCTACGTAAAGCACACAAACTCCGCCCCCGAGACACACCACTGTGCTTCACCACCGAAGAGACGCCAAGTCATCGAAGGCGTTAGGCTCAGACGGAATTTCCATGCAGATGCTGAAAAAGCTAGGACCTGCGGGAGTCGAGTATATGACCGCCGCTTTCAACTTGTCACTGTCCACCCTGATCATCCCCGAGATGTGGAAAATGGGTAGGATCATTCCCCTCCTTAAGCCAGGGAAGAAGGCGGACGCAGGAGACTCGTACAGACCCATCTCCCTCCTATCCCCAGTGGCAAAAACCATGGAAGCACTACTCCTCCCCAGCCTGACGAAGCATCTGAAGCTAGCCGAACACCAACATGGATTCCGGAAAATGCACAGCACGACAACAGCATTAAACACCATTACCACACAGATTAGCGAGGTTCTGAACCAACGTCGACCCTGTGAAAGGATGGTCCTAGTCGCTGTGGACCTGTCGAAGGCTTTCGACACGGTGAACCACGCGACCCTCTGCCAAGACATCCTGGACTCGTCGCTTCCAGCTCGGACGAAACGGTGGATAACCAGCTATCTGTGTGGTCGTCAGTCATCGGTCGAATTCCGAAACGCCAAGTCTAAGCCGCGTAGAATTAAACAGGGGGTCCCCCAAGGCGGCGTACTCTCCCCGACACTGTTTAATCTTTACATGGCCAAACTCCCTCCGCCGCCAGCAGGAGTAAACTTGGGTAAGCTACGCCGATGACTGCACAATAATGGCAACTGGCCCCAACATAGACAGACTTTGCGAACAAATAACCGACTATCTCACCGATCTTTCCAACTTCCTCACCGCAAGGAACCTCCAAATCTCCGCCGCAAAATCCAGCGCCACACTTTTTACAACCTGGACCAAGGAGGTGGGGCTAGAACTGGACGTCTTCGTCGATGGCGCCAAAATACCGACGACCAACCACCCTAAAATCCTAGGAGTTACGTTCGATAGCCTCTTCTCCTTCTCCGCGCACGCCACAGCCACATGCAACAAACTGCGAGCCAGGAACAAAGTCCTAAAATCGCTAGCCGGCAGCACCTGGGGAGCCAATAAAGAAACCCTGCTCGCGACCTACAAGGCAATCGGCCGGTCAGTGGCTAACTACGCGGCACCAGTGTGGACGGCGGGGACAAGCGACACCCAATGGAGGAACCTCCAAACCTGCCAGAATGCAGCTCTACGTACGGCTACAGGTTGTCATCTCATGTCGTCCGAGCATCACCTACATGAAGAAAGCCAGATGCTGGCGGTGAAAGAGCACAACACCATGCTGTCGAAGCAATACCTCGTAGGCTGTCACCAAGGGAATCACCCCAACAATGCCTTGCTTCGTAACGAACCGCCCCCACGACACCTGCACGACTGGAAAGCGGACATTGAGCCGTACGTAGACCATCCATTCGACGCAGCAACATACAGAGCGGCGCTCAACAGCCTACACAGCGATGCGGTCAGAACGAGCCTCAGTACGCGTAATGACAACATCGTCTTGGGCGGTCGACCGCCGCCCATAGATCCAGAAGAAATAGAGCTGCCGAGAGCGACCAGGTGCACCCTAGCACAACTCCGTTCTGGGTGGTGTCACCGACTCAACAGCTACCTCTCTCGGCTGAACACACAAGTGGCAAACACATGCCCTGCATGTGGGCAAGGTCCCCACGACACCCAGCACCTCTTCACGTGCACCTCCAACCCTACGACCCTGACACCAGAAGCGCTCTGGACCGCGCCTATCGACGCAGCCCGCTTTCTCGGCCTCAGGCTCACATAGTCGGAGGATGAAGACGACGACACATGACAGATCTGGGGGGTTGAGCGCTGCTGCTACAACAACAACAACAACAATTTGCTAAGACCTCGCTGCACCAACGAAAGCAAAATTCTGTTCGACAGAAAATTCGATACTCAACAAAAATTTCGACACGATTGCATAATACGAATTTCACATTCGATCTTCGATAGCCAGCGAGGGCAACAGCCTTCACAGCAGCACGTATAACAAGTGGCGGGTAGGCAACACACCTCATTAACACCACACATTCCAAAAGCACACGAAGATTTTACAATTTAACCGCAACGGACTTCAGAGCAAGATCTAGGAGATAACAGTCTTCATGTGTCGGCACGGAATATTAATAGCTGCGGTCCAAGAGACGAAGCTGCATGGCAATTCAACATTGTTCATTGTTTCATGAATTTTGGCAAAAATTGGCTGCATAAACACAAAATCATGAATTCAATTATACACGAAAATTAACCATGAATTTGGGCACCATTTCATGAAATCGCGAAGTGGAAATCCGACAAGGCCACGTTTAACAAACAACTGTTTACTAGGGTTATGAAGTTTTTAGATCAAAAGCATGTAGTGGCATAACCATGACTTAAAACACTGGAAAAATTTCTTGGATTTGTTAATATATTAGAGAAATTCAAATAAAGGAAATTCAAATGCCCCAAAACCAATTTAAACATAACATGGACCACTTCCTGGTTCAACGCCTTTTGAAAATTCAAAAAAAAAAAGAAAAAAAAATTCGGAAGAAAAAATCACAACCCTACTGTGTAGTTTCTCGCTAGTGTGGTGCCACTTTTTCAAGACACTTCATTTCATGTATTCGCAAATTATGCATAAGCGGAAAAATAAATTGTTCAAGGAACGTGTGAATTTTATAGCAATTAAATCCACTTTCAAGCAGCCTGGGCGATTTGAGTTGGAATGACCCCATTGTTATTTAGTAGGTTAATATTACAAAAAGGAACTAGGTTTTCTTAAAATAAAAAAATAAAAACAAAATATGTATTTATTAAACACTTCATCATGAGAAAAAATTAAAAATTAGATACTTGTATTACAAGTCTGACAGTGAGGAAAGATCTTTTAATAAGTTTTCTGTTGTTTCGTTGATAAAATTACGCCAATTGTGCTTAGTTATGGAATTGGACGTTTGTTGAAGCTGCTGGATCTTATTTTCTGTATCGATTTGAACTTCTTCCAGTAGATTGACATCACTTAACACGCGTAGAAGGGTTTCGACGTTTCGTTTAAAACTGTAGAGTAAGAAATAATTAAAATAACCATTTTTCATTGAAATTACTGTTTGAGTACCATTCAAATTGTTGTGTTCTTCGCTGATAAGCCTCATATTGCCAACCCAATTGACGAGCGAGTCGTTCAGCATTCCCTTCCAGCTCTAACAATGATTTGCGCTCGCGCTCAATTTCGTTTACCATACTTTCACCGACATCGCAAATTTTTTTAATGTACACACTAGCCGAATTTTTGCTGATGTTAGTCTCCATTTGTTCTAACTCGAAATTTAAATTATCTTTATAGGTTGTAAGTAAATTTGATGACTCTAGAACAAAAACAACAAAAAAAAAAATACCAATCATAATATATTTTTACTTTTTAGCCTAAATAGCACATATATGAAGTTTTATGGCCATAGGATAATGATAACTCGTGCCGACTTTTAGTTGAGGTTTTAGTTAATAACCTGAATTAATCGTGCATGAAATCTTTGGAAAAATTCGATATCTTTCCCATATTTTAGCGCATGTCTAGTAAATCTGAGTCTTTAAATTTTTAATTGGACGGCACGATCTCTCCCGAGGACATTAAAAAAATTAATTAAACCTTTCCACGTAGGCGGCCTTTGGCCGCACTTAAAAAAATAACCCTAATCAGTCAAACTCCAGATACGCAGTCCACAATATTAGGTGCATTTTTTTGTTAGCGAGCGACAAAAGAACGCTCAACTCGGGTAAAATTTCCTTTTAGCTACTTAAGCCACCGTGTTGGTAGCTGGCAATAAACATGCGATTAGTTTAACGGGATTTAGATACAAAAACCAATGACTAATTATGAGTGGTATTTGCGTAATATATACACACTGAGAAAAAAAACGCGTTGTAAAAATGAAATTTTTTTATTTGATTACCGTTTTAAAATGTATTCAATTCAAATACGCCCGTATTAAAATGAAGCATTTTCCACTGCACGGATGGCGTTTTGAACGTCTCGGATGCTTTTTTTTATGTAATTAAGAAAGTATATGTATACAAAGCATGCACAGTGGTGACAACACATACATGGTACATGTTTATCTGTACAAAAGCACTAATCGCACGCTGTGATGTTAATTCAAACTAGAGATGAGCACGGGCCTAAATTTTCGGGCCCGGCCCGGCACGAGTGCAAAATCAACTTTCTAATAACTAATAGGTATCTTATTTTTTCCATGATACAAAAAAGAAGGTAGTTTCATTTAATGACATTCGTTGTTGTTGCTAACCATTTGACATTTAATAAAATTATGACATTTCATCAAATTCATGCTACCTGATTACTAGAAGAAATATATTTTTTTAAGCAGAAGATTTTATCAGTACATTCAAAGATGTGAAATATGATGAACTAGAAAATTATGCCGGCTAAATGATTTCGCAAATGGGGTTGACGACTAGGTTTCAGAACGCATGAAGAAAGTGTAACTGCAAAACCGCGTAACTGACATTTTTTTCAAAAAATTGGATTTGCTCACACAAGCTCTTGGCTCAACCCTTATCCATTCGTCCTGAAATGGGATTTCTTTGTAAAAAAGAGAACCATTTTGAAATGTGAGTGTTTTTACTCTCTTCTAAATAATTTATGCAACCTCACATACGCAGTTGTGCATTTTGTTGATACACGGTTTTGTACTTTAAACGACGATCTGTTAGCTGTTTATCGGAGGGCGGTCTGTTCAAGCCGACTTCAGGTGTTTTGCATAAATTGAAAATTTGTGAAATTTAATGATGCCAAAAGCCTAATTTTTTGCAAAATCTGATGAGAAATTTAAAAGCAAACTTGAACCTAAATATAAAAAGGTTTTATTTGGGAAGAACATTCTTTAGAATTTGATTTTTAAATCGCAAGATTGCATTAAAAAAAAAAACAGAAAAATGCGCGCGTGGTTTTTATTACAAAATGAAAAGAACCATTACGATGAAGTCTCCTTTAACAGTACCAAGTACTGATAATGGTTTTTGATTTGAAATGTTATTACATTAGTATAAATATGGGAAAGAAAATACTCCGATTTATTGTTTTAATATCATCAAAGTGGCAAGGCCGTAGATAATACTCAAAAATTATGAAACTTCAAAAAATTTTATTATCCGTCAAAAGTTGTTTATTGAAACTACCTTCTTTTTTGTATCATGATTTTTTCTATCGGTTTCCGAATATTTTTTATTTTGCTTTTCTCTTATCAAAAGAGTTTTAATATGTACTGTTCTCTTTGAATAAAAACAAAAGCATATCTAAATTTTTAGTATTAGCAACGGGCTTTTTCGTGCTTATTCGTGCTTTTATGAAATTTTACTGAACGCCCATGCACGCACGAGTTCGTGCTGAGAGCAAATATTCCGGCCCAAAGCCCGGCCCGTGCCCATCTGTAATTCAAACTCAACATTTGAAAACACATTTACATGTATGGCTGTAGCTGAGTGTGCAAAGACGCTTGATACAATTGGTTGGTGCCAAGAGGGTCCGGGTTCAGTTACCATCAGACGGCGGAACATAAAATTAAATTTTATACATACATACATATTTTATAACGTACATACTCAAATTTAAAACGAGTTGGGTTAGTGCTCTTTCATATGCGTATTTTCTTAAATTTAGCACGTTTTTCTTAATTCTAAAATTTTTTCCCTCAGTGCATTTATTTAAAATATAAGTCACGTATATAAGGAAACAAAAATGTCTCTCTCCACTTTCCCATTAATAATTCACAATATAGCAGTTTTTCAAGTCGCGTATTTTTTAACCGAACTGGCTGAACTCGGATAAATAGCCGAGTTTGTGTTGTTGCTTTGCGTGTGTTTCGTCACTTAAGCGAGTGTTCTTTTGTATCTCGGCTGCAAAATAATGCACCTAGTGTTGCGTCCAACTTTTTCACATTTTACGGATATATTGGATCTACATAGGTAGCCAAGGAAAAACTAGTTTGTCCTAAGATCGGGTTTGGCCGGTACCATATACATATATTAATAGGATTTAAATTAAAAAAATCAAAATTAAAAATCTTGAAGGATAATATCTTTAAAGGACATTTTTGACATGAAAACAAGGAAAACAAAAGTTATGATTAATCTTGTTTTGAATTTTTCTTTTATTTAAGTTTTATTCTATATTTTGTGTAAACTTTTAGAAATAAATTAAAATTTTTGGTCTCAATAACAACAGTTTATAAGGCGAACTTAGCACAGTGCGTAGGCAACTGGCTAAGTCAGCTAGGGTCGTTGCATCGAATCCCACTGTAGAGATCTGATGAGGAGATGTGGTGATATCCGAAATATCTATCACTTCTACCATTTTTATAAATTAGTAAAAAGAGTAAGTTAACAAAACACGCGAACTGCACAAAGATTATTCTGATAACTTTGATTGCAAGTCGTCACGCACGGTTCAATCCAAAGGTCTTGGCACTTAAGATTTTCTTATGAGACTCTTTTCTATTTTGTTTTCTAAGTAATTTAAGACGAAAGGGGAAAAAATCTAAAGCATAACAGAAAAGAAGTTCAGAAGAAAATTTGAAGTGCCAAGACCTTTGGATGGAGCTTGGATCCGACCACCGTGCACGGGTTGCCGTGGTCCGAATTGCATTTAATTTTATTTGGATAGTTTTTAAGACAAAACCAATAAAATGAGGGGTATGCGTTAAAAAAAGAACTTTGGTCTTTTGGGACAGTCTAATGTAGCTTATATTATGTAATAAAACTTCACAAATTTATGAATAGAATAAAACGAAACACCATTCATCCATTTTTGACCGCTACTGTACATAAAAAAAAAATATTCCGACGAACTGACAACCTCCTCCTTTTTTAGAAGTCGGTTAAAAATGCTTAAAGATATTCCCAGAAAAACAATTTTATAGTTATTAGTTTGCAGGTACTTATATGTATGTAGTTTTACAGCCTTGCCTTACTGTCTATTCCCAGAGAAGGTTAAATATAGAGAACGTACGAAAACTCTGACTGGCATTTTTCGAGCCAATTGAACGGCCGAAGTGCATCCAGACAACGTTAAATAACATACTTACATAACAACATTAATAACATATTGCAATTCTTTCGTATTCGGATTTTGCTACGAATCGTAAAAATAGTATGCTGCAATCCGAATCGTATTTTCGAATTTTCGGAATTCGTAACAATGGCATGCCTAAAAACGAACGAGTAAGCTTTTTTGCGTAATTTTGTACGAAACCAATTCTGTGTCGGAGGCGAAATAAAAGATGTAAATCGATGTGTGTTTGCAGGAAATATTCGTGGTGTTCATTTAAACAGATAAATTTGCCTTTCGTGTAAACGTAGATTTTTATTCACTGCTTTATATACACCCCTATTCTGCAACTCTCTCGTATTCGGATTTTGCCACGAATCGTAGAAATAGTATGCTGCAATCCGAATCGTGTTTTCGAATTTTCGAAATTCGTAACAATGGCATGCCTAAAAACGAACGAGTAAGCTTTTTTGCGTAATTTTGTACGAAAACAACTCTGTGTCGGAGGCGAAATAAAATATGTAAATCGATGTGTGAGATAAATTTGTTTTTCGCATATACGTATATTTTTATCCACTACTTTATATATGCGAGCAAAAAAGAATATTTGTTGCCCCTTATCGAGAAACTTGGGTCCGGTTTAGTTAATGCACAAAGATTTGCGGTTGTTGTGCCCAAACGCATAACCCAATCCAAAAACTTTAACATACACATGTACCCAAAGGATTCACATTTTATTTAATATAAATCTTTCAAATTTCCTACCCTAGTGGGTAAACTCGGTTTGCACTATGCACTTTTTTGCAAACTTCGACGTAGGTTCTCCGCAAAAATACTGTGGATGGCGTAGACAGAGTGATATGCACAAGAAATGTTGTATACAAACAGAGAAAGGAGAATTCTACATAGTAAGGGTTATAATCCCTAAGCGCGGCCGAAGGCTGAAGCAAGCGTTATTGCATTATCTGGATTGAGAGCCAGTTCTTCAGGCATAGGAGGCGTTCTGGCCTGTGGTTCAACAATTCAACCAGAAGCTGACATAGATGCGCCCATGGTTACTATGCCCAACAGCTCCGCATATCTTTGTGAAATTGGATTTTTCGTTTTCATAGTGTAACTACGAATTACGAATTACGAAAATTCGGGTTCTAGAATAAGGGTGTATATTTTCTACCATATTTACCACCAAAGGTAAAAATCTATCTACCAATATTTTGCGACAAGAAAGTAAATGGATTTAAATGAACATACATATTTTGTCATCGAAGACACCTTAAATAAAAATGAAATGTTTATATTGACATTCCTGATCGAATCAAATTTTATACGAAATTTCTTTTGGAGCATTCGGTAGAGTTCGCTTTTTCAATTCAAATTGAGAAGAAAACTGAGTATGCAGTTTTTAGCCCATTAGATTTTAGTATAGAGGCATTTCATGTCACCGCGGCCACCTCTGTGCGCGACCTATCAGGATTTGGATGCAAGTTAAAGAGATTGAAGGTCTAGGTGACATTAATATACGTGCAGTATATTTTGCCGATATGTCGTAGGGTTGCCTATTTACACGGGACTTAAATTTTAAGAAAACGCCACACATACCTTTCTTTAAAGTGCTGTATCTTGGAAACCTTTTAACAAAATTTACTGAAAAAAATATATTTCTTCTGTCTTATGGCTTTATGGCTTGGCTTTAATTGTACATTTTTTAAATTAATGTGCAACGTATAAAAAAAAAAAATTTCTTTTTTTGATTATAGCATTTTAAAAAATGTTTATTTTTAGATAAAAGCAATGTCTACAATGTCAACTTTAAGTACCCAAATGGGCTACTTAGGCGTATGGACACTAGATCATCTAACGCAATATTATGAAATGTATTGGCTAGGCAAGGACTAGAAGACAAAAACATGCCCTTTTATAGGGTTGAATTTAACATAAAACCCATTTGGCACCGTGAAAGGGCAACATTTTTTCAAAGAAACCAAATCACTATTAGATACCTGCATGCATTTTTCATCAAGGACTCTTTTCCTGCAACTTAAATAAGAAATGCGAATATGACACCCAACATCTCTACATTTTTCATGTTTTCGATGTCTTGGAGAGTGAACACCAGGTGTTGTATACTGTCGTCTAGTTGTATATTGTTGAAGTTTCACAACTATGCCCTACGCGCCAGCAGCTCATCAAAAGTGGACAAAATATGAAGCCATTGATCGATTTTAGAGAGACTTCGTAAAGAGAGTTTTTGGGCCCGCATATTTGGAAAATTCAAAATGGCGGATACAATATGACGGATGATTTCTAAGGACATGCGACCTGCAATACTACGTACTAGACCCACCTAGCGACATGTATTTCGAGGCAAACGGACCTCAGATTCGGATTCAGTGGGTGGAAATATATACCGGTAGATGGGTCTGGTTAAAAGCACACACAACTTTTTTTGTGTGCCTTATTAGATAGTCTAGTCCAGGGATGGGCAGATTTTTGGCTCTTAAAGTAGTCAAAAAGTCAGCAAGTACTACTCAAGATGTAAATCAGTTCTCAGGATAAAGGGGGTGTAAAAAATACATTAAAAGCGTTATATATATTAGTAATAAGTTGGAGTACAAGACATTTTAATGCGCTCTTCTTCCCCCTTCATGCTGACTCTTGATGTTACCCCTCATCTAGCACCTAAATGTGCCAGGCCGGCTCCTAAGTCCAAAAGGCTCCGGGGAGCCACTTTGCCCATCCCTGGTCTAGTCCATTCAATCAATTTCAGAACTTTATTTTGGACATTTTTCGCCCCGTTTTGATTAGCTGCTAGCCTATAGTGCTATGGTGTGAAAATACAGCCCTCAACAATACGGCAGCATGCAACACATTGTGAGCTTCCTAATCGTTATTAAAGAATACCTTGA